GCGGACCCTGTAGGAGAGAGTAGGAGAAACATCTTTAATTTTCATGTTTTATTATTCAAGAGAAACAGGTGTGTGAAGGTTTGAAACTATTCGATCAATTTTACCAGTAGCTCATGTTATTAAAGTGCTCTGTGAACTGAGTCAGGTTTGGACTCTTCTCCTCGTTTTGCTCCTTAGCCCAGAGCAACACCTCAGGAATCTAAGGGAAAGATCAAGGTGGAATAAGTGCACGTTTTTTTTAAACAACAAACACTTCTACAACACACAGAAAAACATTAACTCAGATTAACTGCAGTTTGCCCCACCTCTATTTTGTAGAAGAGCTCAGCATCAAGAAGTGTGAGCTGATCGGCAATTTCATGACTTCGGAAGTCATGAAGCGTTCCAGGCCTGTGAGGACACACACAAACATGTAGTCTCTTGTTAATAAGATAAGACTTTAGTCATCCCACACTGGGGGAATTCACTTCTCTAATATGCACTGCTAATGCTCTCATTCACTATGTTACAATAAATGGGAGAAAACAAAAGTAGATTTGAATTTAACTTTATACTGAAATGATTCCTGATCGTATGAAACCACTTTAAGAGCATCATCTAAAATAGTTTTAATTTCTAACTGTCTCCTTTACTGGGCTATAAAAGACACACCCAGCAGTCTAAGAAGATGAAGAGCCTTTGAGTGATAAGTTACCTCGCAGAGACCCCACGGGCAGCGAGGGGCTTGAGGGAGTTAGTGTAACGGAGCAGCTTCTTCTGCTCCACCTTGTCAAGGATGTTCTTGCGCAGCACACGGGCAAGACTCAGCTCGCCATTGCACACCAGCGTGAACACCAGGTCCATGAGCTGTTTCAAGATGTCTTCTGTCAGCTCCACAAGGCTAGAGGACAGAGGTAGATACAAATGGAACTTCAACAACTCGACTAAAAGTTGAAAAGCAAAACGACTGGCTGTGAAAATTTAGGGAACGATTAAAAGCTGTATTTGTTAGGAACCGGTAATTCACAGCTTTCTTGTTTAAGCAATAAAAACAGATGATTTACATTAAATATAAGAAAAGTCGTTGGGTCACAAACTGACAACAGAAACTATTTGCCCATACATTCAAATCCAAATATAGATTTTCCTCATTAAAACAGCCACTCATTTAAAAATATATATATTTGGGGTTTTTTGGCCATCAGCGACCAGTTCGGTGAGTATAGTTTCTATCTCTGTTCTTGTAGTTACATCTCAACATTTTAACGATACAATGTAATACGTGTATTGATTTTTGGTTTAGTTGTCGTGTGTATTCGGACTGCATTGTTCAGGATAAATACTCGCAGTAGACACTGTTACACCCAGATATACAGCAGATAATGCCCAGTGCAATTATTTCCCCAATATCCACTTATTTAGATTCCTTGCAGATAAAAATTTGTTTTTATAAGTTTTAAAAAAACAAACCTTGTGAAAACACTGGACGTCATTGTAATTTCTATCTAAACATAGAAATCTCAGAGAGAATCAACAGACAACTGCAAATTCTTAACCAAAACACTGGGAGTCATACTCACCACAGCTCATCTACCACGCGGACCAGCACAAAGAAGGTGTTCTTGCTGACTCGCTTCTTAAAGGTGTCTGGACTGTGGCAGAACCTGGTATATGTGCTTTGTGGTCAAGGTAAATGCAGCCATAGTATTTACAATATATAAAAGTACTGCTTAGAAAAAAAGCAACACAGTGTATATTTGAACAGTGATGTCAAAGAGCTTCTTGGCCTTGTCTAATGTGTGAAATGAAGTTCCTTTCAAAGTTCCATTTAAGTTTGGTAACATTTTGAAGTTTACTGATTTCCAAGTTGTTCAATTTTGGGAGAAACAGTGATCAAATGTTGTTTGTGATGCCTGAGAGATCTGTCTTAC